ATTATAAATTTGTGGCTTCTAAAGAAGTCCCACACTATTACTTGACAACCTCAGGTCTGTCTTGAAAGATTTATTTATTATGACCAAAATCAGTGTTTTCTGATGAAAATGAATCCCACTTTATATTAGAATCCCACTCCTACTATGTACTTATTGTATTGCAAAACACTGCTATTGGGGTGGGATACGGGTAAGGTTTGGTTTTATTGGGTAGGTTTAAGGGTGGGTTAAGGTGTAAATGATGGGTCAACAGTGTAATTATAAATGTAATTACAGAAATTGATTACAAATTAGAGATGTAAGGTATTTTTTAAATGTAAGTACAATGTAAAAACATGTATGTACACAATAAGTCCATTGTATCAAATTATTCATTTAGGCCACCTAATACGAAGTGGGACCGGATTTTTTTGACTGTTTGCTTTCTTAATAGCCCTCTATTAGAAGGCTGAAATGCATGTTAGACCATTTAGTCTTTTTAACAGCGAGATATTCTGATGCTGATTTCTCTCTCCTCAGGTATGGCTCATGGCTCTGTGGTGGCTGGAGTGATCGGCGCTAAGAAACCACAGTATGATATTTGGGGGAAGACGGTCAATCTGGCAAGTCGCATGGACAGCACGGGCGTCAGCGGGAAGATCCAGCTCCCAGAGGAGACCTACGCCATCCTGAACGAGCGCGGCTTCGCCTTCGAGTATCGAGGCGAGATCTACGTGAAGGGCATCAGTGAACAGGAAGGCAAGATCCGTACGCACTTCATGCTGGGCCGCGTGCAGCCCAACCCGCTCATCCTGCAGCCGAGGAAGCTCACGGGCCAGTACTCGCTCGCCGCCGTGGTGCTCGGCCTGGTCCAGTCCCTTAACCGGCAGAAACAGAAACAAATCCTCAATGAAAACAACAACTCAGGCATCATGAAGGGCCACTACAACCGCAGAACTCTGCTGGCGCCGGGCGGCTCGGACACCAGCCACGCCGAGGTCACGGACAAGAGCGATCTGGCCTAGAGGACGGGGAAAACAGACTGTGTACTTAACCAAAAGACTGAGCTGTACTTCAGACTGCTGCCGCTGACTGAGTGTCTCTCTTGCTGTCTGTGTTTCTTTTGTATTTCTTTTGTATTTGAGAAACAATAAAGGGGTTTAATTTTTTTATAAAGGCATGAGCTTCCTTTAAATAAAGGTCTGTATGTTTGATTGTTTACATTCATGACGATGCCTCACGTTATATCGGAAATATTGTAACACTGAGATTCTTCTCAGAATTATTAACATCCCTAAACCCAGATTTTATTCAACACTTAAAACCAAAATGGTCCCATCTGCAGCTTTTTTTGTTGTTGACAGCAAAATAATTAATCATATACATTGTTTATCAGTTAACTATTAAGCTGCAAAAAGCACAGTAATTATAGAGGTATCTAAATAACTTCAAATGTTTAGGCTGCTGACATTTTGGTTATTTTTTGACATGACGGTTAAGTCAGAATGGTTTGTGTATTTTTAATTTTTTTGGTCGTAACCTGCTAATCACAAAAAACGTCTCAGATTATGTATGTAACCATGCTTCCCTGAGAAGGGAACGAGACACTGCGTCCTCTAGAGGTCGCTATGGGGAACGGTATACCCACGCCACCATACTGAGGGGAGTGCATGCCTGAAACCACAGCGAGCACTAAGTACCAACTCTACCATAGCCATGGGAGTTGCCCCAAGGACGCCTTGACGGCTGTCAGTAACATTATCCCCTTCGGCCAAGGGCCTGAGTTGCACTAAAAGAGCTTACCTGTTAAGGGCTGGGCTAGGAAGCCCAAGCCTAGGGCAGAGCTCAAGGCTTGGAATCAGAAGAAAGAGATTCCTTTAAGGGGATATGGCCAGGAACAACCAAACCAGACCCTGGCCTGCCATCCAGGGGGGCTACCGCCAGTTCTGAATAAACCTGCTCAAAGAACTGACTCGACAGATCTTTAGTAGCAACACCCTGTAACCATGCTTCCCTGAGAAGGGAACGAGACACTGCGTCCTCTAGAGGTCGCTATGGGGAACGGTATACCCACGCCACCATACTGAGGGGAGTGCATGCCTGAAACCACAGCGAGCACTAAGTACCAACTCTACCATAGCCATGGGAGTTGCCCCAAGGACGCCTTGACGGCTGTCAGTAACATTATCCCCTTCGGCCAAGGGCCTGAGTTGCACTAAAAGAGCTTACCTGTTAAGGGCTGGGCTAGGAAGCCCAAGCCTAGGGCAGAGCTCAAGGCTTGGAATCAGAAGAAAGAGATTCCTTTAAGGGGATATGGCCAGGAACAACCAAACCAGACCCTGGCCTGCCATCCAGGGGGGCTACCGCCAGTTCTGAATAAACCTGCTCAAAGAACTGACTCGACAGATCTTTAGTAGCAACACCCTGCTCAGAAATGTATCAACAGAGATACATAAGTTGAGTGGAGCCCAGGGTGAGAACTGGGGCCTAAACCAACTCAGAGAAATGAAACGAGGCTGACAGCGCGTAACCATACAGGATTTTAGAAATTGTGCAGAATGCTTAACGTGCACACTTACCACAATGTATATTTTAGAAAGTGCACAGAAGCTCAGCATGTGCACTTACCATAGCATGGATTTAGAAACACCATTGCTTAAGGGGTAACCGAAGCTGTATTAAACCAGCCTAGGAGCCCTACGTGACTGTGGCACGCTCACAGAACAGACTCTGTTGCATCTGCTCACAGTTGCCCAGAAGGGAGCGGCACGCTTGCAAGAGGCCCTTCATGCTGAGGGGAGCACAGCTAGCTCACGTAACAAGCAACCTGCCAGGGAAGCAGGAGATGGCCCAGCCACCTGGCATGACTGCTATCCGGAGCTCAAAACAGCGGAGGCCCAACTTCAAAAATAGAAGGGGGATTCAGACTCTCAGATCGAGAGGGGCGTGCTCATATGAAACCCCCAAGGGCACTGCTAAGCTCGACCCACAAGGAAAGCGGCTCAACAGGGAGGAGGAGAGAGGCCTAACAACCTGAGGCTGCTACTCAATGGCGCTCAAATGAGCGGAGGACTTGATGAGAGAAGTCCACAGACGCTCAATTGGGAGCGGCAGGCTCAAACACAACCACCCGAGGTGAGGTGAGCACTGCCTGGCTTGACCCAAATAGAGGCAGCTTATCAGGGGAGCAGCAAGCAGCCCAACTACCTAATGTCACTGCCATGGAGCTCAAGAGCGGAGGGTTCAACCCCTAGCGAGGAGAGAGAGGAACCCAGCTCGACCGAAGCGAAAAATAGCCCAGGGTCAGAGGACCTAACTCTCAAATCGAGAGGGGGACTCACCCAGTCTGCCCAGGACCGGTGAGCTCAAAGGGACCCTCCCGCAGTGAGGGGAGCACAGTCATGTCCGGGGAGCAGATAGATCGCAAATGGGACATCAGAAATGGGATCCTGCTAGAAGGGGATCACACATTTCTACAGGGAACAACAGGGTCCCAAAATAAAGGTAACTGACCAAGCAAGCGACAGAGACAGGCGTAACACTCAGTTTGTTGCAAATGTGGTCTTTCGGGAGGAGGCAGGCCCTTACAGCACATACTGGGAGTGACTCATAGCTAACCATGACCGTGAGGGGAGCACTACACAGCTCGAACAGAAGGCGGCACTAGATTAGAACAGGCTACCCAGGGGGCCCCAATAAGAGACAGTCCACTGGTGCAGCTGGACACGGTCTCATGCTCTCTATCCCGATAGAGCATAGGTCCCAAACAACCAGACCCGATAGATTCTGAAGAAATAGTGGGACCCAATAACCATTAATGCGTACAGTGCATACTGCTCCTCAGAGCAGAAGCGTACAAGAGGGGTTTCCGCAGAAACACAAATCCCTCATACCTCAGGGAACGCAGTGTACTCAAGCCCACTCCGCAGAGGGGCGGTTACTGGTTCAACCATAAGAGCAGTGTGACCGGGAGGACCCGCGGGCCTGACTGTCTATGGAGTGTTGAGCTCCTCAACACCTCAGCGAGAAGAGCTCTAGCTCAGAGAACATGCATTAATGGTTAAGGAAAGACTGAGAGGAGCTCTAGCTCAGAGAATGTGCATGATGGTTAAGGAAAGACTCAAATCTCAGGAGACCCATCAGCGTGAGAAATGAGTAGCGCACCCTGGCCAGAGGATAGGGAGCATGTCACAAAGCATGTACTCAGAAGAGTACTAGCCCACGAGAAGGACCCGCAGGTCCTGAGGTTGCAGCGTTATGCTGGGGACCTGATGCTGGGAGGCTTCCGCAGAAGCCCAGGCCCATAGCAGCTGGGCATATGATGTTTTGGCTAGTTTCTATGTCTCATAGAACTACCCACTGATGGTCCGGACCCTAGTGCTCTTCGAACATCGCCTCCAGCCTATATCCATGAGCCTGAGTAGTATTAAATACACAAAAGCTAAGTAGAGTAGATGAAATGGATCGTACTCACCAACCATGGCTCCCGCGCATGACTCAGGCTCATGGATATAGGCTGGAGGCGAAGTCCGAAGAGCACTAGGGTCCGGACCATCAGTAGGTAGTTCTATGAGACATAGAAACTAGCCAAAACATCATAGGCCCAGCAATGCAAGCACAGGAGGCTTCTACCAAACCTCAGTCAAGAGGGAAGCTTTTTAGAGGAATTAAAGGGTGGAAGATGAGAGCAGATGTAATACTCTCAGAGGGAGGTGAGTAGATGGTTCAGGTTTTACTCTGGTCCAGTTCCCCAAAAATTTTTTTAAAAACAAAGCCCCCCCCCCCCCCCCCATGTTTATCCAAACATATTCAATGACCAAAATTACAGTGTACAGGTTTGTAATGAAATGAGGGAAAGTAAATAATGACAGAACTGTCAGTTTAGGCTGAGCTATCCCTTTAATATTAATGATTCTCTCTAAGACACACGGATCCATCACACCTGCTCAGAAGCTGCTGTTGAGTGTTTAATGCTACATATGTAGGCTGTCATATCTGAAAGATTGTCTCTCTGCAGCTGCTGGGGGAGGAGCAATTTCAGGACATCGAGAAGATAAAGACCATCGGCAGCACATACATGGCCGTGTCAGGACTGTCTCCTGAGAAACAAGTATGAAAACACACACACACACACCTACAGAAACCTACACACTAATGCATACTAAAGCAGATATTACTGGATGTCTTATAAGCCTGTAGTGTCTGTAGTTTAATTACTACATTAATTAATGCATTAATCTTTCTATATGTTTGTGTTACCATAGCAATGTGAGGATAAATGGGGGCATCTGTGCGCGCTGGCTGATTTCGCCATTGCTCTGAATGAAAGCATTCAGGAGATCAACAAACATTCGTTTAACAACTTCCAGCTCAGAATCGGTAAGAGTCAAATGATTCAAACAAATAATTCAGAAGAACTTTTGGAAGTGAGAAAGGAGCGCAACAGTGACTGCCCACTCTTTGATCAGCCTTGATTCCAGAAGTTTTTTTTCCTGTTTGTTTTCTCCACAGACATTTCAGAACAGTTTAAAAAAAGATTCAAAGCCATGAATCATGGTCAGCTCTGAGATGATTCACAATATTACAATTTGATTTGAAGCCAAAAAAAGAAAACAAAAAAAAAATTTTGATGGAAATTTTATTTACGAAATATTATTGCAAAAGATATGAGGTTGCAAGGAGACTTGATTGTCATTTGCAATGCTTTGTGGGAGTGGGCAGTCACTATTCCTGTTTCCATGATTACTTTTCTGACTGGTCAGTGTCCTTTCAGGATCATGGGTAACGGAGTTCTTCACCATGTGATTTATTTTAAAATCATGCTCAAAACTTTTTATTAGTATTATTTTTATCTCGAGGGCATCTAAAAAAATAGACTAGACTGCCATTCAAAAGTGTGAGTAAGAGGTCAGTAAGGTTTTATTTTTAAGAAATTAATACTTTTATTATGCATTAAATTAGATAAAAGTGACAGTAAAAATGTTACAAAAGATTTCTGGGCTAACGCAACTTTGGGGGGTTTCATATTTCATATCACTCACCACTAACAACACTAACTTACAATAGTGAAATACATCTTTCCTCTATTTGTATTTGTATTTATTAAGCACCGATAAAAAACACAACAGCAGTTGACCGTAGTTCTATACAAATTATACAAAAACCAGTAAAAAGAATAACATCAGTAAACGCAAAAGATAATTTAACATACAAAGTTTAAAAAGCCAAGGTAAGAGAATAAGATTTAAATTTTAGTGTTTAGTGTTCGGGGCCCTGGGCTTCAGCCCATGTTGCCCATTAGGATAACGCGGCCCTGCTAATGGCTGCTGAAAATTCAGCTTTGCATCACAGAATTACATTTTAAAATTAATTTAAATAGAAATATGATAAATTATTTATTCTGTTTGTCTAGCCCTTATTGCCTTCTAAATATGTTTAATAATTTATTTACCTATTTTTTTTTAGCTCTACTCAGTTCTTATCCCAAAAGTTGGCTGTCATGGCATAAAACAGTCTAACAAATTAAATAATTAAAATTATAAATTTGTGGCTTCTAAAGAAGTCCCACACTATTACTTGACAACCTCAGGTCTGTCTTGAAAGATTTATTTATTATGACCAAAATCAGTGTTTTCTGATGAAAATGAATCCCACTTTATATTAGAATCCCACTCCTACTATGTACTTATTGTATTGCAAAACACTGCTATTGGGGTGGGATACGGGTAAGGTTTGGTTTTATTGGGTAGGTTTAAGGGTGGGTTAAGGTGTAAATGATGGGTCAACAGTGTAATTATAAATGTAATTACAGAAATTGATTACAAATTAGAGATGTAAGGTATTTTTTAAATGTAAGTACAATGTAAAAACATGTATGTACACAATAAGTCCATTGTATCAAATTATTCATTTAGGCCACCTAATACGAAGTGGGACCGGATTTTTTTGACTGTTTGCTTTCTTAATAGCCCTCTATTAGAAGGCTGAAATGCATGTTAGACCATTTAGTCTTTTTAACAGCGAGATATTCTGATGCTGATTTCTCTCTCCTCAGGTATGGCTCATGGCTCTGTGGTGGCTGGAGTGATCGGCGCTAAGAAACCACAGTATGATATTTGGGGGAAGACGGTCAATCTGGCAAGTCGCATGGACAGCACGGGCGTCAGCGGGAAGATCCAGCTCCCAGAGGAGACCTATGCCATCCTGAACGAGCGCGGCTTCGCCTTCGAGTATCGAGGCGAGATCTACGTGAAGGGCATCAGCGAACAGGAAGGCAAGATCCGTACGCACTTCATGCTGGGCCGCGTGCAGCCCAACCCGCTCATCCTGCAGCCGAGGAAGCTCACGGGCCAGTACTCGCTCGCCGCCGTGGTGCTCGGCCTGGTCCAGTCCCTTAACCGGCAGAAACAGAAACAAATCCTCAATGAAAACAACAACTCAGGCATCATGAAGGGCCACTACAACCGCAGAACTCTGCTGGCGCCGGGCGGCTCGGACACCAGCCACGCCGAGGTCACGGACAAGAGCGATCTGGCCTAGAGGACGGGGAAAACAGACTGTGTACTTAACCAAAAGACTGAGCTGTACTTCAGACTGCTGCCGCTGACTGAGTGTCTCTCTTGCTGTCTGTGTTTCTTTTGTATTTCTTTTGTATTTGAGAAACAATAAAGGGGTTTAATTTTTTTATAAAGGCATGAGCTTCCTTTAAATAAAGGTCTGTATGTTTGATTGTTTACATTCATGACGATGCCTCACGTTATATCGGAAATATTGTAACACTGAGATTCTTCTCAGAATTATTAACATCCCTAAACCCAGATTTTATTCAACACTTAAAACCAAAATGGTCCCATCTGCAGCTTTTTTTGTTGTTGACAGCAAAATAATTAATCATATACATTGTTTATCAGTTAACTATTAAGCTGCAAAAAGCACAGTAATTATAGAGGTATCTAAATAACTTCAAATGTTTAGGCTGCTGACATTTTGGTTATTTTTTGACATGACGGTTAAGTCAGAATGGTTTGTGTATTTTTAATTTTTTTGGTCGTAACCTGCTAATCACAAAAAACGTCTCAGATTATGTATGTAACCATGCTTCCCTGAGAAGGGAACGAGACACTGCGTCCTCTAGAGGTCGCTATGGGGAACGGTATACCCACGCCACCATACTGAGGGGAGTGCATGCCTGAAACCACAGCGAGCACTAAGTACCAACTCTACCATAGCCATGGGAGTTGCCCCAAGGACGCCTTGACGGCTGTCAGTAACATTATCCCCTTCGGCCAAGGGCCTGAGTTGCACTAAAAGAGCTTACCTGTTAAGGGCTGGGCTAGGAAGCCCAAGCCTAGGGCAGAGCTCAAGGCTTGGAATCAGAAGAAAGAGATTCCTTTAAGGGGATATGGCCAGGAACAACCAAACCAGACCCTGGCCTGCCATCCAGGGGGGCTACCGCCAGTTCTGAATAAACCTGCTCAAAGAACTGACTCGACAGATCTTTAGTAGCAACACCCTGCTCAGAAATGTATCAACAGAGATACATAAGTTGAGTGGAGCCCAGGGTGAGAACTGGGGCCTAAACCAACTCAGAGAAATGAAACGAGGCTGACAGCGCGTAACCATACAGGATTTTAGAAATTGTGCAGAATGCTTAACGTGCACACTTACCACAATGTATATTTTAGAAAGTGCACAGAAGCTCAGCATGTGCACTTACCATAGCATGGATTTAGAAACACCATTGCTTAAGGGGTAACCGAAGCTGTATTAAACCAGCCTAGGAGCCCTACGTGACTGTGGCACGCTCACAGAACAGACTCTGTTGCATCTGCTCACAGTTGCCCAGAAGGGAGCGGCACGCTTGCAAGAGGCCCTTCATGCTGAGGGGAGCACAGCTAGCTCACGTAACAAGCAACCTGCCAGGGAAGCAGGAGATGGCCCAGCCACCTGGCATGACTGCTATCCGGAGCTCAAAACAGCGGAGGCCCAACTTCAAAAATAGAAGGGGGATTCAGACTCTCAGATCGAGAGGGGCGTGCTCATATGAAACCCCCAAGGGCACTGCTAAGCTCGACCCACAAGGAAAGCGGCTCAACAGGGAGGAGGAGAGAGGCCTAACAACCTGAGGCTGCTACTCAATGGCGCTCAAATGAGCGGAGGACTTGATGAGAGAAGTCCACAGACGCTCAATTGGGAGCGGCAGGCTCAAACACAACCACCCGAGGTGAGGTGAGCACTGCCTGGCTTGACCCAAATAGAGGCAGCTTATCAGGGGAGCAGCAAGCAGCCCAACTACCTAATGTCACTGCCATGGAGCTCAAGAGCGGAGGGTTCAACCCCTAGCGAGGAGAGAGAGGAACCCAGCTCGACCGAAGCGAAAAATAGCCCAGGGTCAGAGGACCTAACTCTCAAATCGAGAGGGGGACTCACCCAGTCTGCCCAGGACCGGTGAGCTCAAAGGGACCCTCCCGCAGTGAGGGGAGCACAGTCATGTCCGGGGAGCAGATAGATCGCAAATGGGACATCAGAAATGGGATCCTGCTAGAAGGGGATCACACATTTCTACAGGGAACAACAGGGTCCCAAAATAAAGGTAACTGACCAAGCAAGCGACAGAGACAGGCGTAACACTCAGTTTGTTGCAAATGTGGTCTTTCGGGAGGAGGCAGGCCCTTACAGCACATACTGGGAGTGACTCATAGCTAACCATGACCGTGAGGGGAGCACTACACAGCTCGAACAGAAGGCGGCACTAGATTAGAACAGGCTACCCAGGGGGCCCCAATAAGAGACAGTCCACTGGTGCAGCTGGACACGGTCTCATGCTCTCTATCCCGATAGAGCATAGGTCCCAAACAACCAGACCCGATAGATTCTGAAGAAATAGTGGGACCCAATAACCATTAATGCGTACAGTGCATACTGCTCCTCAGAGCAGAAGCGTACAAGAGGGGTTTCCGCAGAAACACAAATCCCTCATACCTCAGGGAACGCAGTGTACTCAAGCCCACTCCGCAGAGGGGCGGTTACTGGTTCAACCATAAGAGCAGTGTGACCGGGAGGACCCGCGGGCCTGACTGTCTATGGAGTGTTGAGCTCCTCAACACCTCAGCGAGAAGAGCTCTAGCTCAGAGAACATGCATTAATGGTTAAGGAAAGACTCAAATCTCAGGAGACCCCTCAGGGTGAGAGATAAGTAGCGCACTCTGGCCAGAGGATAGGGAGCATGTCACAAAGCATGTACTCAGAAGAGTACTAGCCCACGAGAAGGACCCGCAGGTCCTGAGGTTGCAGCGTTATACTGGGGACCTGATGCTGGGAGGCTTCCGCAGAAGCCCAGGCCCATAGCAGCTGGGCATATGATGTTTTGGCTAGTTTCTATGTCTCATAGAACTACCCACTGATGGTCCGGACCCTAGTGCTCTTCGAACATCGCCTCCAGCCTATATCCATGAGCCTGAGTAGTATTAAATACACAAAAGCTAAGTAGAGTAGATGAAATGGATCGTACTCACCAACCATGGCTCCCGCGCATGACTCAGGCTCATGGATATAGGCTGGAGGCGAAGTCCGAAGAGCACTAGGGTCCGGACCATCAGTAGGTAGTTCTATGAGACATAGAAACTAGCCAAAACATCATAGGCCCAGCAATGCAAGCACAGGAGGCTTCTACCAAACCTCAGTCAAGAGGGAAGCTTTTTAGAGGAATTAAAGGGTGGAAGATGAGAGCAGATGTAATACTCTCAGAGGGAGGTGAGTAGATGGTTCAGGTTTTACTCTGGTCCAGACGAGAGCATTGAGAATGCCCAGTCTGGATCACCTCCCTCAAATCTTGCCTGTCCCCCTTAGACCCACGCCCCTTTTGAGCCCGCCTTTGATCCTTAGATCGAGACAGGCCAGGACCCCTTTGTTGTTCGGGCTCAGACCTGGACCTTCATGGAATGAAGGATTTAACGGCAGCTGATCGTGTCTTGGCCTCCTTAAACTTCTCTACCACCGTCTCAACGGAATTGCCGAAAAGGTGTGACCCACAGATGTCTCTCCGTAACCACCATGGCTGCCATGGATCTGCCAATGGCAATGGCGGCCTGCTTAGGGGCACAGAGAGCAAGATCTGTGGTGCGACTCAGCCACCTAATCAGGGGATAGACCCTGACCTTTATCCAGGTCTTTCAGCAGATCAGCCTGATAAGCCTGAAGCACCGCCATGGTATGCAATGAGACTGCAGCCTGACCTGCTGCCGCGTATGCCCTGCCATTAAAATGAGATGTATCCTGAAGTGGTTTGGACAGCAGGGAAGAGAGCCTTAAGAGAATATGTCTCCCCCATAGAGAAATAGCAGGCCAGCGTCTCTTCATCAGGGGGCATCTTCTCATAACCGTTCTCACGCATCCCCCTCGATGTTGGCATAGCTAGTATGCTGGAATCTATAGATGCGAGACGAGAATGGATTTTTTTCAAGCCTTCTCGATCTCCACATGGAGATCCGGAAGAAATGAAAGGCTCACCTGAGCTGGAGGGCTATGGCTAGAAAGAAAACGCTCATGGAAGCGGCCTCAAGGAGTCACTTTCTTGGCCCACTTCCACGGCAAGTCGAGCCTCGCCGTGGTGCAATCCATAACCTCAAGCAACTCATCATACGCTGGGCAGGAGGATTGGGAGGACCTCATCTGACGACATCTGCTCATTCTGGCTTGGAGCCAGCAGAGCACTAGCCGCTGGATCAGAAGATGTAAGAGAGATAGCATCGTCGTCCAGCAGCTCACTCTCATCCATGACTGATGAGCACGAAAATTAAAGACCCTTTTTCAACTTATCAGCCAGGTTAATCTGTGATCTCCACAAGCTCATTTGCCTCCGTGCCTCAGCAGCGGAGGGTCCTAAACCACGGGGAGCTGATGGCTGTCCCTCTTTCCTCGAAAAGAGAGACAAACGAGAGCAGAGCTTTTTCATAGGAAAACGCTCACAGTGCTCGCAAACTCCCCCCTCGAGGACATCGCGTGCGTGCTCTTCGCTCAAACAAAAGACGCAAAGATCGTGTGTGTCATCAGGTGTCAAATAACGAGGACATCTTACCGGAAATGCACGCTTCAAACAAAACAATCCTTGAAGACAAAGAAGAGGATGACGTGTTTTGCCCTTTTATACTGTGGTCGCGCCGGGTGATGACGTCACAGGCTGTCGCCGGCCAATGTGTTTAGATTTATGCTTCAGACACCAGTCACCCTGAAGGCGTTCCCCATAGCGACCTCTAGAGGACGCAGTTCGAAGTTCCCTCGGAAGGGAACCTGACGTGACCTGAACATTTCATAAATATATTTCAGATTGCACTATTGTTGTTTTGACTTTATTAGGAATGTTGCAATTTTACTTGAAGCAACTTATGCCGAATTAAGGTATGTTTATAACAACTTCCTTTCTCAGTCTACACTTTTACTAATGTTTTGCCTTTTGTTTAGATTGTTTAGATACACTAAAGCAAAAACACCTGGATTGTACAGTATACATTATTACAGAGACAAAATGCTTTTACGGATAAAGCATGATGTTGCATTGAGAGAATATTCTCATGCCTCAATACAAATAATCGAGAACGACGAAGATTGTCAAGGATTTTCCAATGAAGGTATGTGACGTGTCAAAGCTGGCAGATTTTTTGACTGCTTC